CGTTAAAACATGAGAGGATAATGGAAAAAAGATCACTATAAAACAAATGACCCAGGAGATTACAGCACAAGATCCAGGATATCTCCACAACAAAACTCACAAGGCCATCACACAGCCCATTATACCAACATCAACCAATCAAGAGGCAGCAGCGCAGCCAACCAGCCCAGCACACCAGCCCCCACCACCAGTATTTATAGAGAGACCGCAGCTCCAATCACATACTGCTTGCACTGGCACGAAGCCGAAAGCACCAGCCTGAGGATGGCAAGTGGGACCTCACTGAAACATCACCAAAATACTCTTAATCTTACACAGGAAAAGACCCAAACACACCTAGACCTGCATACTTGTACCCGTGAAAAACTACGAATATATATATTAAATAAGCCCTTAACCTGGCTAATAAGCTCTGTTCTCATACTAGTTAGGAGGAGAGGGAAGAAAATCTCAGTCTGTATTTAAATATCCATATTTCTGTTGCAAGTATTTTTTTCTTTCCACATAAAAATGTTTAGCTCAAAAAAAAAAACAACCCCGTGTTTCATTCAGTCACATGTTAATTATAAATCTTCTAGTTCACTGAAAATTCTTGGGTCCACCATATATAATATAATATAATATAATATAATATAATATAATATAATATAATATTATATTATATTATATTATATTATATTATATATATATAAACCGGGCTTTGCTCCTTGCCAGTTGTGGGCTTGTTCAGATAAAGTGGGAATAGGTTTTGACAGGGCAAGCAAAGCAGGAGAATTATCAGAACTTGCTCCAGGTACTGCTTCATGATTTGCTTTTGTAAACCAGGCCTGTACCTTCAAAACTAAATCTATGCTTTCCTCCCACTTTGCCTGCAGAAGCCTGCATGGTTGAGATTTCACTTGAGACTTTTTGTGCTATTTAGACAAGAATTAATTATTACAAGTAAACAATATATTTATTTCTTGCCACAGTCTTAAATCCAGTGAAATCATTAGTTCTTCACAGAGTTGGGATCATATAAAATTATTATTATAGGGGATGTTATATCACAAAGATTGAAAACTCTTTTGAAAACCACAAAGTGGTGAATGACCTTATTGGCCACAATTTGGTGCTATGTCCTTTGATCCTTTTCTGAAGCATATCTATGATTTATCTGTCTTATTTTCTCCTCCATGCATTCTGCCATGTCTATTTGTGCAAATGTCTGTTGGATTATTCTCATTTTCCTTCTCTGATACCAAATTCAAATCCTTTTTCTTCCCACATTCCCACCTCATTTTTTGGGGTGTGCCTTTTCAGCTTTTCTTTGCCGAAACTGAGAGAAAATATTTTAAAGCTGTTACATTTAAATCTGTCTTGCTTGTTCATTGGAAGGCCCCGGTTCCAAATCTGAATTGGCATATCTCAACTGCATTTCCTAATTTCAACCTCTAAAATAAGATTTGCCATGGCTACTATTTTATATTAATAATGTGTAGTTGGGCATTTTTGCATAATTAATATATCTGATGATAGAACAGTTCTTCAGGTTCAGTCTATAGAAGTATTAACAAGTTAATTAGAAAATAACCCTACATATAAAGTTTAGCATTTAACCTAAAAGCAATAAGTGCAATTTTTGATCAGAGAAAAAAATATCAGAGCGGAATCTCTATAATTCAAAGGGAGGGTAAAAGTGGAGAAGCTTGTATTGTTCCTGTAAGACAATACATTTGGTATCATCAAATGGTACTGAACCATGTCAAGTGAAAATGGAAATAAAACATATCTGGAGGAAAAACTGTTTCTTAATTAAAACAATAAACTATTTAATTAGAAAACAATTGTTTTCTAATTAAAACAATAAGTACAAACATCGGCAAGTTTATGTTAATCCCACTGGCAACTTTATCTTTGCCTATCTTGCTATTAACAAACTCAGCAGAAGATCATAACTATGAAATCATTATAGCAAAACTGTGATTTGTTTCAGGAATTTTTTTGCCCAATCAGCATGAGAAAAGAAATCAGCCTCTTGGCTCTGTATCGCAGCGAAGAAAACTCTTACCTAGAGCTATCCTGCTAGGGCTGGTCTCTCGGCTGCAGCCCTGGCTTCGAGGGACTTTACTGCGTTTGTCAGTAGATGAGGATGATGTTGGCATTGGGTGTCCTCTGGTTGTTCCACTGCTAAGCCCACCATATGCACTTCCCAACAGCTTGCCAGGAGAGCTAGATCGACTACCAGCTACAAAATAAATAAATAAATAGGTAAATGCTCTTAAGTCTTCAGAATATTTCAAACCATTAAATTTACTAAATGTATTTTTAAAAAATCAGTTTAATTAATAGTAAATTAAAAATAAAACAGGATACAGAAATTCTTCAAGATGATATGTTTAAAAAGGGGGTTAACAACATGTATTAACAATAAAAAATGTTGAGGAGGATGAATGAATAGAAACACAACCTTGACTGATACTACTCATCTTAAAATTGGTCAAATAGGATCAGCCATACCAGCAAGATATATTTTATACCGAAGCAACTAATGAAGTCACTCTCTCTCACATGCATGCACATACACACAATTTCTCTGTCCCATTGTTTGTTTTTTCTCATGCATCTTGCAAGGAAACCTTTTGAAATATTCTTTTACCTTCCAACCACAACACTGACTGAGCAATTGCCAAAAAAATAGGCATTCAAATCCAATAAATTATGCAAGTGATAGTGTATTTTTCCTTTTGTCACAAGACAATTTGTGTTATGAAAACCTATCTTTGAAATTCTCTAATTGTCCATGCTGCTGTTAACTTGGCAGACATTTGGCGACTACTGACCAACGTGTGGGACCAATGTGGAATAAGCCTTGCTCCAAAGCTCAAAGTCTACCAAGCAGTAGTGCTAACTACCCTGATGTATGCCAGTGAGACTTGGACTGTATATAGGAGGCCCACTAGATAATTCAACCACTTCCACATGATCTGCCTCCGCAGACTTCTGAGGATCCAGTTGCCGGACAAGGTGCCAGACACAGAAGTCCTCTCCAGAGCAGGCCTGCCATCAGTTCACACCCTGCTGACAAAAGTCCAGACATGTTGGGCAGGCATGTTGTAAGGATGACAGACCACCAAAAACAACTAAACATATTCTATGAAGCTCTATGAAGAGCTGTCTCAAGGAAAGTGATTGCATGGGGAACAAAGGGAAGTGATATAAAGACACGTTGAAAGCCTCTTTCAAGTCCCTGGATACTGACATCACCTCCTGGGAAACCCTGGCACAAGATTGATCAACATGGAGCACGTTGAGCCACCAAGGCTGACAGAAGAACAACCATCGCACAAGAGAAGCAAGCACTCCGCAAAGCCAGAGCTGCAAATGCTGCAACAACGGTGCCCACACATGACTGCCCAACATGTGGCAGAACATTTCGTGCCCGTATAGGCCTTACCGGCCACCTGTGGATACACCGTGGACAGCCCACAACCTGTTAGATGTCAAGGTCCTCCTTGAACATGATGGACAAACATCAACTCACAACATTTTCATAAACATTTGAAGACATATTCAAATCCATTTTCCGTTCTTCAAATTTACAGTCCTGTTAGCTAGGAGTCCCACTGCTCACTGAACATACACACGGGTACTTTGTCTAAGTACGTCATTGATATATCTAAACGATTTTCTAGCTAAACTTTCATTTTAAAAACACTAGGGTTTTTTTAAAGCCTCTGGGAATACAAGACTTTCAGACATTGAATCAGTTAAAAACAGTAGTATGAGAGACTGTACAGACATGTAAACAGAGTGAAAAACAAAAAGGTGTTTCTTACCACCTGCAGGGTTAGCTGATCTGGATCCTGGATTATGACAGCAGACGAAAGGACAGGCAGAAAGTGAAGCAGAGAAAGCGAGACAATACAGAGTTCAAGAAGCATAGTTATTTGCATACAAACTCCTTTTTGACAAGCACTTCACTGCTCACATTTTATTATGGATTAATGTGTGGCAAGATGGTTCATGGAAACATTTCTGGCAAGTAGTAAATAACTATTTAGAGTAGAATAAATTGTAATTCTTTATGCCTGATATCCATGAGGCTGGTGGGACGCAGGACAAACAAATAACATTACTATCCTGGTATAGAAATCCCATCAATGCAATGTTGCAGAATATGCAATGATATAACAGAAAAACAAGACAAATATTACAAGAGTTGTGCTTATAAAACAGAATGACCAGACAGTATAGAGATTAGTAACAAAACAACAACAACAACAACAAAAAGCATCAGTCACCTTAAACCTAGCATTCTATCTACTAAACAGTTTCTGTTTCTGGCTATGATTTATTACTTTATTTTTTTAAAGATAAAATAAGCATCAGAAATGATACTCACTAGCAACCATTTCAATTGGCACAAATAGTATCTCAAGACACATACGCAGAGCAATCAATAATGCTAAAAATTTTGTGTGTCACTTTGTGGACCACGGCACGTAACATTTGGGGATTGAGAAAACAAATACAACAGTTCTAACAAGAAAGCCAGCCCTACCAAGCGTTTCCATCTTTTGCTACACTGCATTGTATTAACAAGTGAAGTACTTGTTTCAATGTAATGCTAAGTGCTTTTAAAGTACTTGAAACACAGAAGACTTTAACTAATAGCATTACATGATTTTTGGAAGGCCTACAGACTACTAACCTAACACAGGAAAAATTCAGGCATTTCTCTGTGTGACAAAGATTGAAAATCAATTCTGTTAAACAGAATAGTAACACTCCCTCTTTGTGTGCGTGTGTGTGTGTGTGTGCGCGTGCACGCATATGCAGGTACTACAGTAGTTGTCATCTTAACAACCATTCATTTAATGATGGTTCAAAATTATAATGGCCTCGGAAAAAGTGACTTATGACCCATTCTTGAAATTATAACCGTTCCAGCACCTCAGCACCTCACAGCCACATGATTGCAATTTAGGTACTTGGAAACTGATTCACTTTTATGATAGTTGCAACAGTTTGTGGTCATGTGATCATAATTTGCAAACTTCTCAGCTAGCTTTCAACAAAGAAAGTCATTTAGGAAAGCCGTATTTGTTTAACGGCCATGTAATTTATTTAACTATCATTTGATTCACTTAATGATCATGATAAAATTGGTTGTAAAATCAGGGCCAGTCATGGGATGGCTCACTTTAGGACTATATTAATTTACAATGAAAATTCTGGTCCCAAATGAGATCCTAAGTCAAGGATTAACTGTATCGATAAAAGCCTGCTTAAGATGGGGAAAAAAATCAGGGGAAAAAAAATTATCCATGACTAGTGAACATGTTTGTGCCATATAAAATTAGTAGCCTTGCCACAGAATATACAGTTTTATAGAGGCATTTACACTAAGCTGTCAAACAGCAATTTTAGATGAATACGTTTACTATCCCCTACTCAAATTTTTGTAGATGTGAAGAGGACATCTAACTTATTTACATTATATTTTATGCCCTTTCCTCAGTAATTAGTGAACACATTGAGACAGACAGCCAATTCCGAAGAGCATGAAGCGTTTTTTTTTCCTTAACAATCGTTATGAATGAAAATCTTTCTGCAAATTCACTGTCTATTCACAATTCACAAACAGGGGCTTGAAACTGAGTGTCTATTCACCCCATGTTTGGGAACACACATTGCCATGATGCAGAATAAATTAATGATTCTGGTTCTCGATAAACATTGTACATCATGCAGTCAGAATGCATGTTTTGCCAAACAGTATGTACTTATTTAGGCATTACTAGTTTCCCACTGTCATTTAGCATATGAAAGTCAGTTCCCCATATTTGCCATGTGCTGAGGAAGAAAAAGAATTGGGAAGGAAAATTGTTGTGGGTGGTGGGTGGGGGGAAGGACATTGGAAAGAAAACCAAGAAAACCTCAGCTAGGCTTGAGGAGCAGTGACTGGTCTTATCTTGTACCGCTGGATTAGCCAGAAGCTTGGGAGAAACTCAAAAATAAACCAGGATTAAAACACCTGGTTTATCAATAGTTAGACCTATTGAGTACTCATAGTGAAAAGAAAACAAAATTATTAAAGCAAGTCATAGTTTCTCATTATGCTTTGTTGTCCCTAAATTAGTCATATTTTAACTCAAATAAGGCACAAACTGGCAATATAATTCCTGGCTTAGGCATCCTATGTGGTATGAGCCAAATCACTACCTCTGTACGCAGGAGTTCGTGTTCATGTGAAACATGACATGACTAACATGATGCTGAATGGCTCCATGTGGGGACGGACTGCTTATACAGACTGTCTACTACTTCCTGGATTCTCTGCCCCAGCTGACATTTTACATTTAAAGATTAAAAAAAAAAAGAAATCAAGAAGAGGCATTTTTCAAAACAAAGTGCCAATCTCTAGTATCTTCATTTCCAGACCATCCCATCTTTACAAATCATGCTTAGAGTAATGAATATTGGTTCTGCCAGTGGTCCTGGGAAACCCAGAGCGGGATGGAACCCATCAAATGGCTCATGTGATCTGCTGTTGTCAGGGCGGGGGGAGGGGTGGGAGTTGGGGGGGTGATTTCCCACCCCATTTTGTTCTATTGTACTTTATTAATTTATTTGATTCTTTTTGTTAGTTTTTATTGTTTTTTTTTTAAAAAAATATGGTTTTACATTCTGTAAGCTGCCTTGAGTCACTAGATAGATAGATAGATAATAAATATCCTGTGGAGTTAAGTCTCAAGTGTATTTTTTAAAATCTGTGTATCATACCTAATTTATCAGGACCTACAGGAATTAACTTTTAAAATTGCATTTGAAGAATATTCATAGCACTGAATGGAAACACTGATGTATATGAAAATAATGCAGGCAAGAAAAACAAACTTGAAAAATACACTGTGTCCTCCATAATAGCATACTAAATGGTTCCTTACGCTGGGACTGTGAAACTACTTTAGCCCGACTGCGGCCTCGAGTGTCAGCAGGTGTTGAAGTGATACTACTGGTGCTTCCAGAGCTTTGCCTCCTTGTGCGAATTCGACCTGAGGAAAGAAAAAAAAGAACAGAAAACTGACGGTTAAACTTTAATGTGATTGTGGTTAATATTCTTTTACTCATGCCTCAGTTAATAGTTTTGCAATCTCACTAAAATGAGAAAATTGTAACAAGAGGGTGAAATTGGATTCCCCAAATTAGGAATCTGATGTAATTCCCTTATTTATATACATTAACTAAAATGGAAGCTTTCTACTTAGTGCAATATACCAATCACTAAAGCTGGGCATGGTACTAAAACGATTCTGAAGTAGGCGGGAATTTGTACAAGCTCATTAAAGCACTCCTATCTTATTCAGACTTCTGAACAAATATGAAAAAAGACATGGCTGCCTTAATGAGTAGCAGAGAGACTCTGTATTCAAATGGCTTCTAATGAATATTTTCCAAACCAGTTTAGAATCATGCTCAACTTTAGAAATTATTTATCTTATTAAGGCAGAACTCCAGACTCAACACACCAGGAAAGAATTATATAACAAAATGAACTTTATTTTAAAGCATACTGCAAACAAAAAATAATTTCTACCAGAACTAACAGGAAAAGGGGGAAAAAAGAAGTATAGTCCTGTAACTTGCATAATGCTTAAATTATCACGGCAAATACAAAACCAGAAGATAAAGTTGGGATTAAAGAGACAGAACTAAGTGTGAATGTAAAAAGGAAAGAACTACTGGAACATGTGCTAAGAAGAAATGAATGGCAGTATCTTCAAATTAATATTAAATAGGATTAAGCAACATGACTCTTATTTCACTCACAAGAAAAAGAGATTCCTTTGCCTGCAGATCACAATACTATTATTTATGATAATTCATTTATATGAATCTCTCTGGTGCTTCCATAGGCCTAATGTCATCCATCAGGTAAGTTTTCCAGTAATCATTTTTGAAGGTATCATAATAAAGAGGTCATATGTATGTAGAAACTAATTAGAGTTCCAGCTAACATGGAGAAAGACCAATGTGTATACATTTCTACCTGCATAAGGCCACTTCATATTGATACCAATCATGCAGTTACCAAGAGCTATGACCAGATTATGACTGTTTGTCTTGTTTTTAGAAAAAGGTTTTATTGGCCATCACTATCAGGAAATACAGTGGTGCTTAGAAGTTTGTGAACTCTTTTGACTATTCAAATTTCTGCTATTACCTAAAACCATATGAAGCTTAGCCACACAATTAGATCTGTTCCACAGTAAAGTGGACATTGTTTTTATGCAGGATACTATCCAATTCAGTTCAATCATGAATATATAACAAGGCAATTAAAAACATCAGTATAGTAAATTAGCTGAAGTCTTGTCTTCTTTTAGGGAGTGCCACATATATTAAGAAATTTCTAGGAAGACTTTTTCCATTACATTTATACTTTTCTTTTAGTACTCTGACAATTATCTGTCTAAAACAGTTTGAAGTTGGTTTTGTGAATATCATCATATTAATGATGTAAATTGTTTAGGAAAGGACACTTGAAGATTATAATAAAAATGAAGGACTGGCCTATTTCCCCTTTCAGAGTCAAAAAAGCAACTTCAATTATTATTAAAATAATGTCATTAGTTAGCTTGCTTATCCAAAAGGCCTCTCTTAGCACCCACTATCCTTTGTATAGAATTGGATGCAAACAAAAATACCATTTACAGCCTGATTCTACAAAGAATTTATTTATTGTCAAATTTCTGAGACACTCCTAAGATTTATTAGAAGTCGAAATTCAGATACTTAAACAAGTAAAAAACATAAAAGAAAATTTCATTTTATACTTTGAGGGTCAAATAGCTTTAACTAAGAGCCAAATATGAAAGGTATATGAGAGTGCCTGAATTGTTAATAAAATGGTCCTTTGGAAAGTTGAAAAAGGATAAAGTTAAGGCTGAGTTATGAATTGGCCTATGGAGGATTACGTTAGAAAAAAATTATCAATCTCCTTTTAAGTTTTCTCATTCCCAAATTATTCTGCATTATTATAGTTTAGACAGAATCTGTAGTAAGCTTTTATTACAATGATTTTATTGGCATACTATTATCTAAACTGAATATGGCCTTTTAATCTAAAAGAAAAGAGGGATAAAGAAGTAAAAGAATACAATATCCAATAATACTTTATCCAGTACAGTTTAATACTGATATGTACCTTTAACTCTGTTACTTTCTGTTAAAATAATGGGCATGCTAACACAAATATTCTCTCTAGATTCACTCAGACCAGTCATAATCCACTTTTCTTTATCACCCATAGCACTATTTCAGATGCATACTGGTCTATTTTATTATGGCAATTATAGTTCAAAAAATCTCAATACCATGAGCTGTTAATTAGAAATCAGCACTACTTAAGTCATGTCCAGATATCTTGAGAAAAACATTGAATGAATAAATAAAGTCAGTATCTTTCAGTAGATAGATCCCTTCAGTTGGATACAACTGGTATTTATCTTGAACCTAGATTTCCCAATTAGGAAAGGAAAATGGAGTCACATGTCAGAGGTGGTATTCAACCTGTTCGCACCAGTTTGGGTGAACCGGTAGTGGTGATTTGCATGGGTTGCCGAACCAGTGGCGACCCCTGGCTGGCCATGCCCCTGACCTGGTCTCCCAGTCAATCACTTGCCCTGGTTGCTCTCCTAACTTTCCCTACCACGTGGCGGCCACGGCGCAGCTCAGGCGGATGTCCTATGGCTGCTGCACATGCGCACTGCCTGTGCAGCCATTACACATGCAATGCGCAAGTGCAGTGACCCCAGGACATTCATCCGTTTGCCTGCCCTCCTGGAACATACTTTCTTCCTTCTCCTGGCAGATGTGCCTCTTCCAATCCAGCCCAGCCAGCCAGCAAGTGGCCATATGTTCAGCCACCCCTTTTTCAGCACAACAAGCCTTCCCCCAACTGGACAGCTGCTCTCCTCCTTCTCGGCCTGTTTGTTCTGTATGGCCTGTTCTGTATGGCGAAAGGGGCGGCTGGAGACCGAAAAAGAGTTGCCTCCAGCCACCCCTTTTTCAGCGCAAGAAGCCTGCCCCAACCGGCTGACTGCTTTCCTCCTCCTCGGCCATAATACAGAACAAAAAGGCAGAGAAGGAGGGAGCAGCTGTCCGGTTGCACTGAAAAGGGGCAGCTGGAGACCGAAAAAGAGTTGCCTCCAGCCACCTCTTGCACAGCGCAAGAAGCTTGCCCCAACCGGCCAACTGCTCTCCTCCTCGGCCATACAGAACAAAAAGGCAGAGAAGGAGGGAGCAGCCGGTTGGTTGCGTTGAAAAAAGGGCGGCTGGAGGCAACTCTTTTTCAGTCTCCAGCCCCCTCTTTCATAGTGCTGCACCACTCTGCTCGGACTTGCTTAGGCAAGTTCCCTCTGGTGCAGCGGGCTCAGTGGAGTGGACCTGCGTGGCCGGCGCCTAAAACGCAACGGCAGCGTGTTGGAGAAGCGAAGCAAAGCCGCTGCAAGAACCCTATAGCCACCGCGTGTTTTTTTTCAGTGTGGGGGGAAGGTAAGGTTTCAGGCAGCCAGGAAAGCCAAACCGAAGCTGCCTAGCCCAGAGCTGCCGGCTGGGGGGGGGGGGATACTGCAGCACACGCCTCGCTTGAATTTCCCAGCCCCAAAAGCAGGAGGGGAGGAAGTGCCACCCGCAGCCCCTTTGATGGACCCGGAAGATTTGCCTGGTGGCTTTTTCGGGCAATAAGGGACCGGAGACTGGTCAGGAAGAACCCTCGTAAAGAGCTATGCTGACGGGCGCTTGGAAGTGTGTGCGTGTGTGTGTTCCAGGTGGGTCTTCTCTCCTAGCTTTAGAAGGAGCGAGGGAAGGAGGAAGGGAAGGGATAGAAAGAGAGGGAAAAAGAGAAAGAGGGGGAAGAGAGAGAAAGAGAGGGAGAAAGAGAGAGAGAGAAGAGAGAATGAAAGAAAAGGAAAAGGAAGAAAGGAAAAGAGAAAGGAAGAAAAGCAAAGAAAGACAGGATGGAAGGGAGAAAAAGAAAGAGAGAAGAAGTGAACAAGATATATGAATGAATGGATGGATAGATAGATACATGGAAGGAGGGAGGGAGGAAGAGAGAAAAAAAAAGAGGAAGGAAAGACACAAACCCTGGCTTCAGAAGACTCTTTGAAACAGCACAGCAATCTAGGGCTGGAGGGGATCTTGGAGGTCATCCTCTTGTCCAAGGGTCTTCAAACTTGGCAAGATTAAGACTTGTGGATTTCAACTCCCAGAATTCCCGATCTAACATGACTGGAGGAGGAATTCTGGGAGTTGAAGTCCACAAATCTTAAAGCTGTCAAGTTTGAAGGCCCCTGTTCTAGTCCAACTCACTGTTCCAGCAGGAGATTCTTACAGAATCATAGAATAGCAGAGTTAGAAGAAACCTTGGAGGCCATCTAGTCCAACCCCCTGCTCCAGCAGGAAACTTTATATCATCTGAAATCTGGATTATTTTGGTGTCTCTAACGGAGAGGAAAATTAGCAGAGGAGTTTACTAGTACAAGGCTGCCATGCAGAGGAAGGCAGAGATAGTTCTTCACTGATGACCACAATTGAGCCCGAAATTTTGGTTGCTAAGCGAGAGATTTGTTAAGTGAGTTTCGCCACATTTTACTCAATCCATGATATCTCCTGGGTCTGTGCAGGCTAGGGAAGTAAATCTGAAGGTGTGTGCAATGTTCTAATGTACAGAAGTTATAGTTAAATGTGTGGCAGAAAGTGGACTGTGGGTATGTTTTTCCAAACGCAGTGAGGTTGAATGTGTATAGTTTTAGAAGAGCTATGTGTGTATGCGTACATACACATACAGCATATATATTAGATAATATATCTTTTTGTGTGCGTTTACACACACTATACTATGTACACATATGGCATATAAACATAGGATTAAATAGTGTATTTTGGATATTCAGTAATAGAAAATAGAGAGGGAAATTGTATCTCTTTGAGGCCAGGCAAGGCACCCCTTGACGTGAGTGACGTCTCAGTTGGCCATGCCCACCCAGTCACA